GGGGGGGGGGGGGGGGGGGGGGGGGGGGGGGGGGGGGGGGGGGGGGGGGGGGGGGGGGGGGGGGGGGGGGGGGGTGGTGGGGGGGGGGGGGGGGGGGGGGGGGGGGGTGGGGGGGGTGGGGGGGGGGGGGGGTGGGGGGGGGTGGGGGGGGGGGGGGGGGGGGGGCTTAGATGCTGCTATCGTATTATTTAATCGTATGTTTATTATTGAGTCATTTCTTATGGGCTTAGTTCCGAGAACTTGTTTGTAAGTTTGGGTTAAACGTAGGTGAATTCCAGATCGACGCGTCATAAACTTAGCCACTTTGTGGCTATGTCAATTTGTTACGCGTACAAATTTTTTTGGCAATGACATACCATTACCTTTTTTTATTATTTACGCTCATATGCAATTTTATTGGTTATCACACGCGTACAAGCTGACAATTTTTCTTTTTTTAAGCATTATGATTTGTCATTCTGCGATCATTTTAACAGGAGAGGTTTTATAAAAGATTGCATACACTAGCCATTTCACTTTCTTAATGAAGAATTAAAGCTAGATACTGTTGAATCTCCTAAACAGATCCTGTCAAAACTGATTAAAAACTTTTGATTTTAATATATCGATATAAATTCTTTTTAAAACTGATTAAAATTTGGCCCATGCATATCGGTTTAGGGAGGGTCAACAAAGTTAATAAAGTTTCTAAAATTAATTCAGCTGATTTACTTCTCTTTAATAGAGTAAATTTAATATAATAATCTACAAAAAAGCTTGTATATTCATAATCAGATTGGATGTCTTCCTCAATTGGCTATTTGAAATTCATTTAACGTTATAAGTTTAAGAACTCATGAGTTTGGCAACCAGTTGTATCATGTGATAAGAACTTAAAGGATTTTACTGGTTAATTTATAGGCAAAAAAATAAAAATACCAAATCTTATAATAAACAAAATCGGAATTTAATACGTATAAACTTTCTATAATGCAGAAATCTGGCTAGATTACATATAAAAGTATATATATTTTTTATTAAGCTAACCTTCTTTTGGCTTCTAATAAAAGTTGTAGAACTTATGTTTCTGATTATAATGGTAATAAAATCATCAAAATCGGTTCAGTAGATCCCGAGATATAAGTATTTTTTTTTTTTTTTTTACTACGTATACGATTTTACTACGTATTGCAAAAATCTTTTGGGATTCCACTTACTATATAAGTCAATTACCGATTTTTACTATGAAATTTATACCCTTTAACTACAGATTACCCCTTAAAGATTAATAATCAGAACAACTTTATTAACTTATTAGTTTATTTCATAACTTGAAAGTCATTATTAACATGAAGTATAAATATCAGACGACGCTTTATTTCGTTATATATTAACAATAATAACTTGAAAATAAATTTTACTTATCGTAAAAAAAATTTTACAAAAAATATATTATTTTCAGTTCAAAAACATAAAATAAAACTCAGATAATTAACATACATCGTCTTTAGGTTCACTAATATTACTTGTTTCGTCCTGAATAGCAGACTCATCAATAGTAGCAGACTCATCAATGGTGGCAGACTCATCAATGGTGGCGGACCCATCAATGGTAGCAGACTCATCAATAGTAGCAGACTCATCAATAGTTAAAATAGAAAGTTCTGATTGTTCTTCGTAGTTAATATTTGATCTTGAATCAACATCCTGATCTAGACAATCCTCATTATAAGTTATAAAATCATCATTTTTTTCCGATTCTGTTTCACTTGGAGGTGGCGGTGGTGGCACACGAATAGGCAATTCTCCATATTCAATTTCTCGAAGAAAGTTTGTCAATTCAATATTAGATTTAGTAACATATCCCAATCCTGACATAATTTTATTGCTAAGTCGCCATTCTTGTGAAATATCTTTAGCCAACGTAGACATTTTCACAGTTGCCTATTATATATATCATATCAATATATATCTAAAACAATTAATAGAGTTATATTTACTGTCACTATCTAAATCAAACAA